CGAGTTATGCTTTCCGCCAGTTTCAAAAACATGGTTTCGAGAAAAACGCGTTTAAAATTTTAACTCCTAAATGTACAAGTTTTTATCAAAATATGACGCTGTATTTTCGCATTTAAACTCTGTAAAAAAAATTTGCAATAGCCATTTCTTATGTGCCAAAAACCGCTCTTTCGAATGGTGCATATGAAAATTTTGTAAACTTTTATGTAAACAAATTATACTTCTTTTTAAATAAAAAACGCAAAACTGTCGCTGTGCGCGTAAATACACTGCGCTGCATTTTGTTCTGTAACTTTTTTATTTCGTCGAATTTTGATTTAATATTTTGGGATTATATTTTGAAGATGATTTGGAACAGTAAAATGCAAAAAAAATTCCATTTTTTTTGACGGTGTAAAGTGTAATACTACCTTAAAAGTACCAATACTATACTAGCGATTTTCGTATGTCTGTTTTCTTAACAAAAACGCTTAAAGTTATACTAAAATAGTTCCAAAAATTCCCATGCGTTAAAAGATCACTGGCATTAACGTTATTAGTAGCAATTTTATGTCTATATTGCACGAATGACAAGTGAACATAGTTCCCCGCTCTGCCGTGCGAGATTCGTTCAAGGCACATACCAATATAGCGTCAACATCGAGCGATTATTCCAATTAGGCTGGAGTCCCATGGCAGCGTTTTGCGTTGCGTTTTGTCACTAGACCATGAGTGTAAAAGAGATGCAAATATATGTTTGCTATGTTTACACTCAGGGTCTAGTGACAAAATGCAACGCAAAACGCTGCCATGGGACTGCAGCCTTAGTTGTCAAATAATCGCTCAACGTTTGATGCTATATTAGTATATGCCTTGAACGAAATTCGCATGGCAGGATGAAAACCTATATTCACATGACATTTATACGAATATAGAAGAATCAACGACACTTTATCTCTCGGGAACAACCCAAACTATTTTAGTATGTCCAAGAGTGGAATTGGTATAAATTTTATGCTATTAAAGTCGCAATAGTTGTTTTACTAAATGAGTAAGTTGTTTTCATACGAAATTAGGGACAAATTTCTCTCCGTGTGGGTATTATAAATTTATTTTGAAAAAATGAAACAACAATCACTTTTACACTTGCATTTCGGGACACAAATATGTAATATAAAATCATTCTTTTTTTTAAGGTTGCATCATGGGGACAAAGCGAAACTGCTTCAGCCCGGCTGCAAGGTTTGGGTGAGGTCGGGGAGTTTTTTTTGGCCGACTAAAATCATAAATGTATTTAATGATACATACGAAGTGAATGTTTGTGGGAAAGTTGGATTGAAAAGTTTAGGATCAATACAACTTTTCCACAAACATTCACTGGAGGAGGAAGAAAACAAAATGACTACAACGTTACAAAAAAAAAATGGCAGACAGCATTGTCTGTCATTAATGAATAAATTACTTTTACCGAGTAGTTAAGTGGAGGCGCCTCCACTCGGTAAAAGTTCGTCTTTCCAAACTTGTTTCACAAATTATTTTTGTCAAGTCTTCGTAGAAAACTTTTAATAATGGTTACTTATCAAGGTTTTTTTTTATCATTACTACTATCATTACTACAATAAAATTATTTATTTAAAGATAATTATATTGTATAAATAAATAAATATTTCAAATAAATTATTGTACAGGTTGTGATTTTTTTCAAAACAATGAAATTCGTGTTTTAAATCACTCTAACTCTAAACTCTAAACTCATAAACTGTTTTTTACGTTCATGTTTACGACTGTAAGTTTATTTATTTATGTTATTTTCACAGTGGTCCTCAAGCATCGACAGGTTCAACTAAAATGGATCCAAAAATTGAATGAACAAGCTTTTAAAAGACTATTCGTAGATGTAAAAACTGGTTTTTTTAAAATCCTAGCTGATCGTTTTCTCGAAAAAACTCAAAATTAAGTTTTACGAAATGTATTTTTAACATTGTATTATATACTGTTCAATAATCAACAATTATATCTTTAATGTTCTTTGGTAAACCATTTTAGTGCACAGTACGTACTCACTAAGCATTAATATATTTGACTTATAGTAAAATAAATACAAAAGCTTGTAGAATAGCTCATTAGATTACTCTTTATAGACGCTAAAACGACTTTGTCTGAAATCAAAACCAATTTTTTTCGAAATATTTTTAAACTGCGTTTTACAATAATTTTTTATATTTTAAGATTACCATTATGCTTAACTTATCATTTAAGCTTTATTTATCTATTTATATTTAAGTTGAAATTCCATTCATTCATCCATTCATATCAATGTATTTGTGCATTAGTTTAGTAACGTTTTGTAACAACTGACTGATTAACTTATTGCTTGTGCTCAAGACCAATTGCTTTTTCTCTATTTTAAAATGAGTTCACATGAGGAGAACAGGAAGAAAATATGTGCACCTTGCGGTCAGAAAATTGCTTTTAGAAAGGTTAAACCAGAAAAGTTTCTTATAAACAAAAAGTTCACTAATTTAATTAAAAAACTTATCAACAATAGTTTTAATTTAAATGATGAGAAATTTTTATTAAGCATTTGTAGAATATGCTATCTTACTTTTCTTGATTACGAAAAAAGTATCTTTAAAAGGCCAATTTAAATTAAAATTATTGTTAATAAATTTTTTAATTACATAAATTAGTTAACTTTTTGTTTATAAGAAACTTTTCTGGTTTAACCTTTCTAAAAGCAATTTTCTGACCGCAAGGTGCACATATTTTCTTCCGGTTCTCCTCATGTGAACTCATTTTAAAATAGAGAAAAAGCAATTGGTCTTGAGCACAAGCAATAAGTTAATCAGTCAGTTGTTACAAAACGTTACTAAACTAATGCACAAATACATTGATATGAATGGATGAATGAATGGAATTTCAACTTAAATATAAATAGATAAATAAAGCTTAAATGATAAGTTAAGCATAATGGTAATCTTAAAATATAAAAAATTATTGTAAAACGCAGTTTAAAAATATTTCGAAAAAAATTGGTTTTGATTTCAGACAAAGTCGTTTTAGCGTCTATAAAGAGTAATCTAATGAGCTATTCTACAAGCTTTTGTATTTATTTTACTATAAGTCAAATATATTAATGCTTAGTGAGTACGTACTGTGCACTAAAATGGTTTACCAAAGAACATTAAAGATATAATTGTTGATTATTGAACAGTATATAATACAATGTTAAAAATACATTTCGTGAAACTTAATTTTGAGTTTTTTCGAGAAAACGATCAGCTAGGATTTTATGAAAACCAGTTTTTACATCTACGAATAGTCTTTTAACAGCTTGTTCAGTCAATTTTTGGATCCATTTTAGTCGAACCTGTCGATGCTTGAGGACCACTGTGTCATTTACAAGAATACAATCAAATTCGGCAGTTTCGTAGACATTGTAGACATAATTCTAGAACACTCGCCACACATCATAAAAAAGCTCTTCTAGAGAAGTAGAGAAAAAATTGGAATTAATACATATCTAATAATCGTTATTTTTGAAAATTAAAAAAAGGTAAAATTATCATGTGAAAACATTATTATATTTAACTTAAAAAAAGCAATTAAAAATCCAACAAAGATTTGAGCACGTGGAATTTTAACCTATAATTTACTGATATTATTGCTTACCTTCAAAATGCGGTATGTATTCCTCGAATCCATCTTTTTAAAAAAATTGAAAGCACTCAGCTTCCATGTTGTTTATATCCAACCCGAACCACTTAGAGACAATTTTAAATAATTTAATTTATGCCAAAATTGCTTTTTTTCTTTCAAACACGCTTTTAGGACGCGAAATAGAATGACGCAATATGTGACCAGCTGACCGAGTCTGATTACCGCGCAAACGCGTACATCTATTTAGATCAACGAGCGTAACCATTTAAAAATGGATAGGAGATCCAAACTAGTAAAATCCATAGCGATATTGAAAACACAACCAAACATATGGTTGGTACATCCATATCAAATTTACAAATATTATATGGTTCCCACAACCATTTTTTTTGTAAATTCTTCCATACTTGAAGTTGCGCCAGCCATATGAATGGATACCCCAACAATATTATGAATAACAATATTTTTATGGTTATGATATCCATTCATTTTTTTCCGTGTAATAATTTTTTTGTGGTCAAGAATGTGTGAAATGTATAAGTTACACGAAATGTGATGATAATTAATAGCAATTAACTGTGTTAACAACGGTTTGGTGGGGTCTGAGGCCTTTAGGTCTCTTCACAATTGTACGCGTCGACGCCTATGGATTGTTCCGATGGCTGAAGGCCAAAGCAGAACAGCTTCGCGAACGAGATGCATGCGTTAGAAAAGGACAGAGATATATTTGAGTTCTTTTCTATCTCATGAACCACGTTTGCAAACGACTTTCGCGAATTTGTTCTGCTTTGGCCTTGACGGCTGGCATGTTGCAAGCTTTACTGAGTCCCTAATATGCCTGAAAGAAATGACAGACTGACACAATTTATTAGAATGCAGAAATCAACAACTTTGTGCTGCATTTACGTTAAAGTAAAGTAGCCCTTGTTTTAGAGGTGTTGTACAAATAATTTTTTATGAAAATTTTTCTAGACTTTTCAGTTATTTTTATAGTGTTATTTGAAAATTCGATATATTGGAAAATCTTCTTCACTAAAGTGTAGTTAAATCGAAATTCTATGAAATGAAAATTCGACTTCTTATAAAATTCTTCTAAATAAAAAGTCCATAATTATTAATTTGACATTGCCATAATTCCGTCAGTTTTAATGTGGGAAATATCGGTAATTGTTTACTTTACTACCCGAATAAATAAACAATTACCAAAATATTTACTCGTTTTGGAATGGAAATTCAAATTCCTGAAAATTTCCAATTGTAGAGAAAAATAATACTATAAACTATTTTAAAAAATGTGCCTGTCCTGTTCCTAATTAAACTGCAATAAATTATGAAATTAAATTACATTTATTCATTATTAGATCCGGCAGTAAGAGTCGCTGCACTTGGAGTATTTGAAAGTTTGGCTTCATCAGAACCAATTACACCAGAAATAATAAATAGTTTCGAAATGTCTTGTGGCAATGATGATTCTAAATGTTTGCCTCTGAAAAATTGTGGATCGTGCCATGTTCATAATCAAAACGAACTGCATATTGAAGGCTCAAGTAATCATAATAGCATAAAAGATTTTAAATTAAAATACGAACATGATAAAGAAATTAGCTGGATATTAAAAATTTGCTTAGAAAATATTTCTGATGAGGTGAGATCTATGAAAAAAAAAAAATTAAATGATTTACAAATTCATGTAAATGTAAAAAATTTAAAAAGAATAATTAATTTCAATTTTAGACAGTAAGTGTTCCTGTACGACTTCAATCTTTAAAATTACTGGGCGTACTTGCTGATAATATTGAAAATCTTATTTATCCACATCTTACGATAATGGCCGAAAAATTAATTATAGCTGCAAAAGACTCAGTACCGCAAATAGTTCTTCATGTTTTTCGTGTTATTGATACTATTGCTAATCAACTTGAGACAAATAATAAAAAAGACGATGCGATTATATTGTTTTGGAATATTATTTGCGAGCCAGTAATTAATCTTTTACAACATTCTGAAGCAATTTTAAAGGAAGTTGCTTGCAATTGTTTAGGTAACATTGGAACGAACGTTTTTTCACAATTGACGGTAAATTAAAAGAAATAAAATTTTATTAAATGGGTCAGAATTTCTCCAATTATAACAAATTATAATTTTTTGATTAAAATATTTGAAAAATTTGTTATTTAATAATTGAATAAGTTGAGAACCAAGTTTATAGGCCAAAATGTTATATTGAATGTTTATTGAAATTTTACTTAAAGAAGATAACGGAACTGATTAGTAGAATTTGAGAAATTCTTACCCAAATAAAAATATTGTAATTAATTTTTTTTTTAAATTTTTGATCATAGTAAAGACACGTCACTGATTAGGTGAATATTTTCTCTGAAATTATTTCTTATGTTTTCAGAGAGAAAAAAGTATATTAATAATTACATTATTATTTGGTGCAACTCGTGATCAACAAAGTGCAGTTAGAGCTGCAGGCCTACGAACTTTAGGACTTTTAGTAACATTAGCTGCATTAGAAGAAAGTACTGGATTTCTGATGGATTTAGCTGATATTACATGTTTATCTTTGTTAGATGAAAATCTTGGTGTACGCATAAAAGCCGCGTGGGCATTAGCTAGTTTATGTGACTGTCTTATTAGGATAGAGTGAGTAAATTTTTTTTAAATATGTTTTGTGCATCTTTAGGGAAAGTAAAATTTGATTTAAAATTTAATATTTCAGAAATAATACAGAGCTAGAAACAATACAGTTAGATATTTTATTACCAAAAATTTATGAATCAAGTGTCAAGGCAGCAAAAGATAGTGACAAAGTCAAATGTAATATAACAAGGGTCATTGGAAGTATTTTGTATTTGAGTTCTAATTGTCAAATTTTAGCTGACACTTCAGAAGGTTTGGAATCTCTTATTGAGTGTGCAACTCTCAGTAATGATCAGAAAGTTAAATGGAATGCTTGCCGTGCTATAGGACTGATTTTAAGTCGTGAGCCGGATTCTATTCTTCCTACTTCCTGGAAAGTAAATATATTTCTATTTTATTCGTCTTTGTAAATGTTTTATAAATTTCTATTTTTAAATTATAAATTTTTATTTTATACATTTTTATTATGAATATTCGTGTAAATTTGTAATTGTAGAAATTTGTAATTTTAGGATCAGGTATTTCCAACATTGTCAAAATTGATACGTGACAGTATAAATTTTAAAGTGCGCACAAATGCTGCTTGGGCTATTTCAGTTTGTAATTCTTATGGTAAATATATTGTATCACTGTGGAAAAGTGTGATATTAGCTTTAGAAAATTCACAACATGTACCTAATTATGTTGAATATGCACATAGAGACAACCTTGTTCAGCAGGTAATATTCTCTCAATCACATTTTTATTCTTTTTATTTTTGTAGAGCAAAAATATTTTAATTAATATTTAAAAATTTTTCTCCTTTATTTATTCTTTGAATTAATTTTGTTAACGTCTGATTATAGTTGTGCCTAACACTCAGTCATCTTGCTGTTCATACACACATGAAAGATTTACTATCACTATGGACGGAAATTGGAGATCATGTTGAAGATGTTACAATTTATATGAAACAATTTCAGGTAAAAATTGAAATTGTTAATTTTTTTCAATATATAAATATTTTAATTAATATTGTTATCGTTACAGAATCATATATTACCTGAAAAAGCCGGCGATGTGATAAATGCTCAAATAACATTTTCTAAATATAAACGAGAATGTTCTACACTGGAGGAAAGAGAAATTGCAAATACGTTAGAAAATTTGTTTACATAATGATGGTCATAACAATGATTTAAAATTATTTATTAAAATAATATTGGACCTACTGAATTCATCATTACGAAGAATTCGACGACTTCAATTATCATCACATTGCAAGAGAAAATCAGGTTATGTTCTACAATATAATACAACTTGAAAAAAGGTATGAATTTAAAATAGATTCAAACTTCAACAAAATATCCTTTCGGATTTACTGCGTTATAATTTTAGCCTTATTATAAATCGTTTTAATTTATTTCAACTAAACAAATTCTTGACATAATCAGTGGCGGATCCAGATTTTGCTCCAGGGGTGATAACCTTTAGGAGCAGTATTTGATGACCAAAATGTTGGTAACCTTTTTTTTAGTTATAATTTTTCGTCCTGTATCCGCCACTGAACAGAATAGTATTATGCAAATCATGTTTCTTAACACTGTAAAACTTTAGTAATGGTAACTCCAGTGAATTGAATGTGTGATTGTAGTCTAACATTTTTACTTCTAATGAAAAGAAGTATCAATTGCGAAAGCTATTAAATAGATACATCAAAAAGACTAGAGACAGGAGGGGTAGCTTGGGTGGTGGAGTATGATAGAAAGAGTGGTCAGTGAAGGAAGTCATTTTCCTTTTTTCATTATCGCTCTCTGTAGTAATATACCGCTGTTACTCCTCCTGTCTCTAGTCATCTTGAGACTTCCGAAAAATTTGGAAAGGGTTCTTTCGAATTTGAATTAAATATTAGAACTATAAATATGTTACATCCCCCCTGACCTGATCAGGACGAGCATTATGCTCCTAATAACACGAAATAATTTGTTGTGAAATCTATAAATTCTACACTGCTTTAATTGTTCGAAAATTTGTGACCGGTAAATTTAAAATATTGACCCGAAAATTGCCGGGAATACAATTTTTATAAAAAAATGTCCACCACCCTGTGCTTTCATATTCCTTTTCTTATACCGCTTTGAATCCTTTGAAATCTACAAAAAAAAGAAGCAAACATTTTGCAATAAATAAAAGTTCCTTTCGAAATGTGTAAATGTTTTCAAAATCATATGAGAGAATTCACCTGAAGTAATCATGGTAGAAAAACGTTTTTTTCAATTGAATAATGAAAAATATTTTAACTTCATTACCAATTTCAATAGCTTTTTTGACGATCTTTAAAATCAAAATAAAATAACCCGGACAGCACCGAAACTTCCCTGAACCTTGACTGGACCTCGCTTGACGAGGTTCGGGAATTTGAGTCGCGAGGTCCAAACGAGGTTGAGTTGATGTTTAAATGTCCGCGCATAATAAAGGTCAGTCACAGAGGTTGGCTGAATATTGGATTTGAATTTCTGTTAAATATTAACATTAAAGATTCTTGGCATATTGTGAGGGGATATTTAAGGAAATTATTCATCATAACTGTTTCTCGCAGTTGAGGTGCCATTAGATTGGTATATAAGTAGTGATCGAAAATTTTTTTCTTGTCGAATTTTTTTTTCTGCCCCATGTCTCTCCTATTTTTTGGATTTGAGACAAATTCTTTTTTGGAAGAAATGGTTTCACTAATACTTTGATGACCATTTTTTTAATTTAATTTAATTATTAATTATTAATTTTTCCCATTGGGTTTTTAAATTCATTTGCTTTCTTTTTATTTTTCCGTATTTATGCTCATTCTAAACCAGAATATTTAACGATTACATTTAACAAATCCTGAATCTTTAATTTCCTTAAATATCCCCTCACAATATGCCAAGAATCTTTAATTTTAATATTTCACAGAAATTCAAATCCAATGTTCAGCCAACCTCTGTGACTGACCTATATTATGCGCGGACATTTAAACATCAACTCAACCTCGTTTGGACCTCGCGACTCAAGTTCCCGAACCTTGTCAAGCGAGGTTCAGTCAAGGTTCAGGGAAGTTTCGGTGCTGTCCGGGTAGCTAGTAGCGCTAGATTGCATACAAAATAGCATTGTATCTAGTACTACTAGCTAGTGCCACGAAATTTTTCTATACGGGAGGTTGATTATTCAATCAACCGTCATTTTGTTTCTTTGTCTAATTTATTGGTTAAGAAAAAAGATAGTAAAAAAATTACCTTCGCGCAGATTCTCCTCTTCGCGTTGCTTTCTTCTTTCCTCTGTGGAAAAATTATTACTTTTTTATTAATGTCATTATTTTTCCCTTTGGGCAGACTTGTTTCAAAAACGTTCCTTCCCACACACGCCGAAGCATTAATAAACACTTAAAGCTTTACGTGATGGTTCCGGAACTTTTAATTACAAGCTTTAATAAAGTGTAATGATGGAATTCCGCGCGTTATTAGAAACTCGCGTGCACCTTCCACATTATCGAAACGCTCTTATTACTTACTGAAAAACTCTCAAAGGGAGATTCCCAACCAAAAAGAACCACTGGTGCATTAGTGATTCCCAAGATTTATAATATGACTCACCCACGTTGACCAAATGACTGCTGGACGCCGACAACGCTGACAGAATGCAAATGAAAGGTACTGTAGAAATCACTTAGACTACGGGTAATTAACCGCTAATATTTATTATAATTATACTGAAATAATACTATCGTGCAACTGCACTAATACAAATAAAAACGACAAAGTAATACGTAAGTATAATCTTATGACAAGAATGACTCGAATAGACCGCTGTAGAATATCGACTGGCTATCGACCGCAAAACTGCCCAATATCACAACCTGTCTCGGGAAACGGGAACCATCGCTGACAATGAGACCCTAAATCTACACACACGTGCGAGAATCCCAATTCCAAGACTTGCTATGAACACCTGTTCATAGCACGCTGACGGACCGAGAGGGACAAAACACTAACTCAACGACATTACATATAAGGAACGATTTACATCGTTACAAACCCCTCCCCTAGGCTGATAATAGCCCGCTAATATCGCCGTTCAAAACCCAAAACGAAAAATTAAACGCTGACTTCAAGAAACAGATTTATTTCAGAAATAAAGGGGGGGGTACAAGGTACTAAAAATGTCGTAAGTAATTGACCCGTCGCTCATCCAAAAATTGTGCCCTTGCCATCTGATCCAATTCATCTGGCCAACTGGTCCTCCAAAACCCTTATATCCTCCAGAAGAGATCCCCTCTCTCTGGACGCTGACATCGACGCTGATGGGGGCAAATCGGTGGGGGCGCTAATCTGAAAAGAACGTCGATTAGTACCCCTATCGTCACGCTGACTATACGACGTCCCTGCTACGAAAACGGACGCGGGATGGCGTCAGTGTCCCTCCACAGGGACGCACGCTGAATACCTCGTTCGTATTGGCGTTGAACCTGATGCCGATCCTCATAATAATCGGCGCGACGTCGCCGATGGTCCTCGTACTCGGCCTCACCAAACTGACGCATCATGTCCCGCTTATGCACCTTTGCACAACGCGGGCACGAAGAGAGGACAACTCCTCGCCTGCCACAGTTCCAACAAAACGAGCGTATGTCTTGTGGACACTGCGACAAGCGATGTCCTTTCTCCCAACAGTTGTGGCACGCATTCCTCGGCGCATCCAATTCCCGATCCGTGGGGATAACGTCCAATCTGCCAAACATCCTACCATGCCGAATGATCGGCAGAGATGCCCGATCATCCGACCGGCGCTGACTGGCTGGCGGGTTGGACGGACGCTGATATGACGACGAAACCGCTGGACGCTGACTTGGTGGAGACCTCGAACGACGCTGACTAGAAGAGGTCACTTTAGGGGACCGAGATGGAGGTCCTGGTTCAAAATCTGTGGACAACCTTGCGGGGACAACCCATGTCGCTAGTGTAGAGGGCCTAGGCGACACGAAATCCTCCCTACAAAGGTGGCCCTTCTTCCGACGCTGAATTTCATCTCTTTGTTTGGTCCTTAACTCATCCACCTTGGACCCTGCCCGCGGAGAAGTTGATCCCTGGAGAACTTGCTCCAATTCGGCAACTGCGCGTCGACTTTCCTGAGCCTCTTTACTCTCACTCAACCTTTTCAACGGAATCTGGACCCTTTCGTCGCTCAGGACACTGGGTTTGACCGCTGACTTCGACAATTTGCTCGACGTTTTGGAAATAGCGCCGAGAGACTGCGTTACGACGCTATCCACTGACGCTGACGGCAGTCCTCCCACTGCCCCGGAAGCACCTGGCGACGAAGTCCTGCTAGTCTCCGCAATCTCGTTCAAGAGGTACTTCCGTGCGACATCCATTGGTGGTGGGAACTCGGGAAGGCTACGGTGAGCCACTTCTCGACGGCCCGACAACTGTCGACGGTGTGCAGCGGAACTCCTCCACATCTCGCGTCTACGAATTGCACCCTTTGAAGTGTGACGCTGATCCTTCCTTGCCGACTCCCGACGGCACGCTGACATCCAACACCTGAAATCAACGAACATCAAGTTCCCATTTCCTAAGAATGCCTACAACGAGGAGGTATAAACCGTTTCAAATCGGAAACGTGGACCTTAGCAACACGGCGCTTATCTTCGGACTTTAACTCGTAAACCGACGCTGGCAGCTGCTTTATTATTTCATACGGACCTTCATACTTAGGTGCTAATTTGGCCGAAAACCTTTGAGCCGCATTAGACAACTTATGTGTCCGCCATAAAACACGATCGCCGACGCTGAAAACTGCTTCACGCTTATTTCGATTATAGTGAGCCGTTTGCTTTTCCCTCGCTGAATCTATGAATCTGGCTACTAGATCGCGCAAAGCGTCCAAACGCTTCATACGATTGACCCATAATTCCGGATCAAGACGCTGAATTTCGCTGACTTTCTCGACTTCGCGACGCAAACTCTTAACCGGCTCTGGATGACGACCGTAATTTAAGAACGCGGACGACGCCTTAGTCGACGACTGCTCAGCCGTGTTAACCGCATGCCGGAACTAGTGGACATGTTTGTCCCAGTCGCAATGGTCCGCAACAACGAACGTCGCTATCATGGTTTTGAGGGTACGGTTACTCCTCTCCACCGGATTGGCCTGAGGGTTTCACTATACCTACAAGTTGCGCTAGGTCTACATGAAAGTATATTTTCACTGTCGCACAGTATTATCAAATCAACTGTCATTTTGTATTTTAGTCTTATTTATTGTTAAAGAAAATATATAGTGAAATAATTACTTTGCGCCTCAATCTCTCGATTTCTTGTTTCTCGAGCAGCATTTTCCTTTTCCTTATCATCTCCATTATTTTCTATGGAAGAATTATTACATCCCAATCGCCATAAGGATTTCCCCCCTTCGCATTTTCTATTGTCAGTAACGGTTCCGGCAAAAGTTACAGAGTGACTAGTTGTTGTGTTTATCTTTAGATCCCTAACAAAGTGATTATCATTTACTTTAATAATTCCTGTGCTATGAACCTCTCTACACGCACTCTCACTCACCTCAGAAATATATTCATTTTCAGAGTTTTGAACTAACGATATATGGGAAAACATACCACAATCATAAATAGTTCTATGTATTTCTATTTTTCACTGTTTGACGAGGACCTCATTAAAATTATCGATTTGTAATAATTGTATATACTTTTCTTGTACACTTACATTAGTAACAGGGATATTGCATTTCCCCACCTCTCTTAAGGATAAGGTGGTAATGTTTAAATTACCAGATCCACAGTCATAACCAATTAAGGCTTGGGAAGAAGAAATAAGAAAAATACATGTTATAATAACCTGCAACATTTCTGTAACAAAAACTTTTTTAACTAATTAGTCATTTATTCATAAAATAATAAATTTAAGAAAGAAGAAGAAGAAGCATTAATCATTTTTATCATATTGACCTCTATTTTTTTCTAAATTAATGTGGGAAATTCTTAATGTATTTGCATGCACTATTTTATGATTTTTTCCTATTTGTAATTTAATATTATTTTTATTTAAAACTTCTATAATTTTAAAAGGACCAGAGTAATGATTGCCAAATTTACCTGGCAAAGGTCCGGATAATAAAAAGACATAATCACCTAATTTAAAAATTTTAGGATTAATATTTTTATCATAATATCCTTTTGATTTTTCTTTAGATACGTTTTTATTGTGATATACAATTTTCTGGATGCCATTAAGCCTAGTAACCAATTCAGAAACGTAACCTTCAAAGTGGGGACTAAATCGTCCTCTCTTAAGGGAACGTTCGAGGGAAGTCGAGCCAATTTACCAAATATTATTTCATAGGGTGTATGTTTGGTACTTTCATGAATGCTAGTGTTATAACTCAACATCGCGATATCAATCCATTCATCCCATTCATTATCAATATCTTTCTAAGGATCCATTGGACTGAGGATGAAATGCGGTAGTTCTACTGCTAAACAAAATTTTGAAAATAGATCTTGAATAGTTAAAATGTATTCATTTCCTTTCTGAGTTTTCTTTAAAGGACCTACAATGTCCATAGCAATTTTTTCTAAAGCTACTCCTGGGGTATCAGTTATAACCATAGGTTGTTTTGTTTTGAGTCTAACTAATTTTTTTAATTGACAGTCTAAACATTGTTGTATCCGTCTTGTGACGTCGTCTTTTAGTCGTTCCCAGTAATATTTCTGTCGAATTCTGTTATATGTCTTGCTGACACCTTTATGTCCCCCTATAGGACATTTATGGAATTCATAGAAAATTTCTTCGCGTTTCTCCAAAGGTACATAAGTAACAGTACCATAACAAATTAGAACATTAATTTTTGAGTTATAAAAGGTTAATTTGATCAAATTAAAAATTTCTTCCCAACTAAAATTTTCTATAGTTTCACTTTTAGCGATAGAAATTTCTTTTTGATTTAAACTTTCTAATCTCTTTTTAAGTTTCTCCAAAAGTTTCTTTATTCTTTCTTTTGTTATTAACAAGGATTGGTGTTCTTCGTCCTTCAAACATAAGGAAATTAAATATCTATTATTTTTTCTTTAAATTTCTTGGACTTCACCTAATAATAAAGATTGAATGGAAGTAATTTTATTATGTTCTACACTGGAGACTCCATCCACTGGACGGCTCGAGTCTTAGTCCAGTCGATGGAGTTCGTACTTGACGCAACCTCTACGCCGAAAACCGTAAATATTCAGGGCTGTACTACCAATAAAAAAGATGGGGTCTTTCACTGATACAGTAAAATATTAATAAATTTTATTTATTAATAAATATTTTTTATTCCATTAATAAATATTTTAGTTTCTGATGAGGACAGCAGTGCTGTTGAAACGTCAACAATAATTTTTTTATTTTATTGACCATTTTGACTTTGGACTTGTCAATGATACACTTTAAACAGACGCTACTGAATATTATTTTCTGAGTTTAGTCACGCCCACTTTTCCCCCTCCGACGTTTTACCGCGCCGCGCCACCAACGTGTCCAATGGATGGAGTCACATTGGATGGAGTCTCCAGTGTATTAACCTTTTAGCACCTACATCACATGGTGACCCATTAGTTGAAACAAAATACGCAATATTGGCTTGCCTATACTGAATTGGTATTTGTGTTTTAATAATGTTTGTTTTCATTGATTTCGATTCAATTTTAAAGGATTTTTCTGGTAAATCTGAAGCACTACTGCTTACTGATTCATCATCTGAATTTTGCTGGAAGTATCTTCTCTTTTTAGCCGTTTTTTCTGGATTTGGATAGGGGTTCATACGAATTCTTAATTGTTCGTTTTCGCGATCCGAGTATTCTCGTAAATCTCTTCTTTTTCTCGCGTCATTTCTGGGGTAGGGAGGGGTTTAGTTTTCGCAACTAATTCTTCAATAATTTCTTCGTCACTTTCAACATAAACAGGTTTTGGTTTTTCCAAATTACGTTTGGGATATTTTTTGTTTAAGGAATCTGGGACAAAAAGTTTCTTTTGGTGAAGAATTAATGTTATTATATAATTTTTATGTAAAATATTAAATAATTAAATGTATAAGAATAATTATTTAAATAATTATAAAATTTTAAACAATATTCGTAGTGAAATATTTAAAACATCTAGATTCATATATTAATATGAAAATATTTAAAAACATTATAAAAATAATTAATATACAAATGATTACAATTTAATATATTTTAGGTATTCTAACAATTCAATACTATTAGTTTTCTTAGCCTCATATTTCAGGTATTGAAATCCTCTTAATAAATTTATATCTTCTTTGGAGTTATTAAATAAACATGGAATTTTTAAAATATAAAAGTGGCCAATAATTATTTTTAATTATTTTCATGGATACATTATTCGTCTCTAGGAATAATGCTTGTATTCCATGACAAACAGAAATTTTTTTATAAACGATTGCTAGCATTATGACACTATTATCATATGATGCCCATATAATTGAATGTTCCTCAATTAAATCATAGAAATGATAATTTATTTGATTGAAATGTTGCATTTTTGTTAATGGATATGCCCCAAATTTGTTTTTTGATAATAAAATATTACTTAAAGTTTTTATAGTTGTTTTCTTCTTTTTATCTAAAAAAAAAATTTAATTATTATTTCATATGTACATTTATATAAATGTTTATCTAATATCTTACATTAAATTTCTTTTAATATTAAATAATACATACAACAAATAAAAAACTTTGGAATGATTTGAATTTTTTATTGAAAATTACATAAATTTTTTTATTAAACTATGTTTTAAAACATAAATATTGAAACGCGAACTATAAATACTTAATTTTAACAATTTCATTTGAATTATAACATTATTCATATAAATATTAAATTATTTAGAATTTTATTCTATCACATTCATAAATATTCTATTATAAATTTTTCATATTTTTAAATAATCCAATGATTCTATAACATTCGTCAAATGATGTTCTATTGCCCAAACTTTAGTTATTTTTAGGGTGCAGTCCCATGTGGGTAGAATAGTGGAATAGTAGAATAGTGGAATAAATGTCGACCAATGAGATGAGTCTAGGGGAATTGGACTTAAGGTGTTAAAATGTGAATATCGTTTTGAAATCTATGTGTTTGATGGTTCGTGATAGTGAAATCATTTATTAAGAAAAATGACTTTTTATCATTAAAACTTAAAAATTTAATAGTAATATAATTTGAAAAAAATGTTCTATTTTTTTAATGTACGTTTAAAATAACATTAAAAAAAAGAAAATTTAAAAATTGATGCATCTTTTAGGAAGTTATGAGCATTCAAATATTAAAAGCCATGAAAATTCTCCAATTTTCAAAATTGCATAACTCGAAAACGGCTTGTTAAAAAAATTTGAAAAAATTCATGAAAGCTAGTCTCAATTAGTAATAAAATAAAAAAAACGGAGATGCAATTGTAGATAGAACGTCACTTTGGCGTGGAACACATCATATACCTACAAAAATATTTAATGAAAATTCAAAGATTTTATACATAGTGTTGAAAATAACCTCAAATTTTATATTTATTTATTATATAAATTAAATAAATTTATATAATAATTTATATAAATTATTATACATTTATTTATTATATAAAGTGATTTTTTATTATAAAAGAATTATTAATGACTTAGTTTCATACCTATTATGTCATATAGTTTAAATATTATTATTATTATAAATATACGTTGAATGTATTGTACTTTGTTATTATTTTGTCTATTCCACTATTCTACCAAAATCAAAAAGCGCGTGTCCCATGTGGTAGAATAGAAATAGTGGAATAGTTGAATTGCTGTTATGCAGCCAATAATAAGCTGCATTTCCACTAGATCCCAATCTTACAATTACCACGATTCGCTTTTTCTGTTCCTCTATTCCACTATTCTACCAGCTGGGACATAGGTACCCTAAATTTGGTAGAATAGGTAATTGGACATTTTTTAAAAAAATTAAAAAAATTATTAAGTTTACAAATCACTCAACTGATTTTATGAATATTTTAATTTTATATTTATTGTTTTGTGTTGTACTTATTATGTATTTATTTAATTATTGTTTTAATTATTGATTATTCTTCAATTGATTGAGTCGAAGTTATATATATATATATATATATATATATATTCATTAAGAATTTAATTTGTACAGAATGTGTTAATTTTTTAATTTTGAAAAATAAATTTAACATCAGTATTGTCCAAATTTAATTTTTGAGTAAATAAAATTAACACCAAAATTTTTTATTTAAAACTTTTAGTTGGTAGTAGGGATATTAAAGTTGTATATTTAAATATGTCATTTACTTATATTTCAATTCCGCAAAATTCTTTACCTCTAAAAATTATGTGCATCACTCACACATAGTTAAAAATACACTTTAGTAATTGTCATTGAATTGTTTGTTCATTTTTCTTAATAAATGATTTCACTATCACGAACCATCAATCACATAGATTTCAAAACGATATTCACATTTTAACACCTTAAGTCCAATTCCCCTAGACTCATCTCATTGGTCGACATTTATTCCACTATTCTACTATTCCACTATTCTACCCACATGGGACTGCACCCTTAGGTATTCCAAAAGTTTGATATTATTTTCTTTATTATTAAATTGATTTGGTGTGATATAATATTCCCATGGCCAATATTTAGATGTTATTTTATAAATGTCATTACTGCTATCAAAAAATGATATCCTAATTCCCTCTGTAATATTGATTTTACTAGTCACCCTTGCCGGTAGTATATTATATTTTCCATAATGGACCCAAACAACATCATTTTTTTTTACTAGACTGTAGTTATGTTATAGGGTTTATTAAGATCAGGAAATTGCAAAAGAGGAGAATTACATAACATGTTTTTTAAAGTTTCAAAAGATTCATTAGTTTTATCATTCCATTCAAATAGAACATCTTTTTGTAATAATTTAGTTTATGGCTTAGCAATTTTAGCAAAATCTTTTATAAATCGTCTATAATAACCGGCCAATCCTAAAAATTCGCGAATGTTTTTAACTTTTTCTGGAATGGGAATTTTTTGTACAGCTTCGATTTTCTTTTTATCTACACCTAAACCTTTTTGATTTAAAACATGACCTAAATAATTTACTTCCTGTTTTAAAAATTCACATTGTGACGAGTAAATTTGAATGTATAATTAAATTATACACTTCTGCTCAAATATCACAAAAGGCTTCCAACAATAATAATATAGAAATTTAAATACTTAAATTTGCCGTCAGGCGCCAATTAATTTTTATCTAAAAAATCAATAAAAATAATAATTCACAATTCAACATAACTACCAGAGAAACTCTCATAGACCTCTCAACCTCAAAGGAGATCCTGTCAGAACAAAGGATCAGCAGAAGATCCGTCGTCGAGACACGACTGGCTCAAGACTGGCTAGACTTACCGTGGCTGCTCTGGCTCCTCAGCTGGGCTGTCCGTGTTTCCCTACAATCTCGGGCCTTAGGAATTGTTGTAAATAAATATACTCCACCAATACACTATAATCCTTCTTTATTATGTACACAGATGTCCCCTGTCCTCACACAATATTCCCTTACAATCTCCACACTCAAAACTCTACACAAAACTCACAAAAACTCTGTATGTATCGATTCGCGATGTCGCGTATACAAGAAGAAAATCCATAATGGACGTCAATGTATTGATTCTATATCGCGTCAGTACATTGACGCCGTTCGCCTTCTTCCTATATCTCTCTCGCTCTCTCCGCTGTCTTGGCCGCATCACGCGTTCTCTCTCATACGCATGGGAAGTGGCTTCTCCTTGAACCTGAAAATGAATAATTAGTTCGGCCGAGTGACACACTTGTTGTTACCCCAAGTGGGTCAAAACTAATCCAATCTCTACCTTACCGGGGACTAGTAGCGGCCTTATATTTCGGGGAGAGCCAGAGATGTCGTGACGATTCACTCCGTCACAACATTTATCTACTTGTAACTTTAATCCTGCCTCTGCTAACCTTTGCACCAAAAGATTCAATTTATGGTCATGTTCTTCAATAGAATTCGCATATATTACTATATCGTCTAAATACACGAATAATATTTCGCCTTGTAAACCTTTAAGCACATTGTCCATTAGTCGTTAAAATGTCGCAGGGGCAGTTTTGAGTCCAAAAGGCATTCGAGTAAACTCATAATGTCCAAAAGGAGTAATAAAAGCTGCTTTATGCGCGTCCCTAGGATCCATTTTGATTTGTAAAAATCCTTTAGCCAAATCTAAAACCGAATAGTATTTAGTGCCCCCTACTTGATCAAAAATTTCAGTTATATTTGGCAAAGGATATGCATCTCCTGTAGTCTTTTCATTAAGAGCCCCAAAATCAAGAACTACTCTCCATTTAATTTTACCTTCCGAATCCGGTTTTTTCTGAACTATCCAAAGAGGTGTACTATACTGAGAATTTGAAGGTTTAATTATACCTGTACCTAATAATTCTTGAACCTGTTTCATAATTTCTTGTTTCATGGCATGAGGAAATCTATACTGTTTTGAAAAAACTGGAATGTCATCAGTAGTAGGAATTCTATGCATTACCCTATTAGTACCTGGCAATTCATCTCCAGGTAGAAAGAAATGTTCCCTGTGTTTTAATGTGATTTCTAGTACATGTTTTTCATTTTCATTTAAATGATTTAACATTAAAAAATCCTCTAATTTAGGATTTTTGATTTCTGTTTATGGTTCCTCTTCTGAAATAAAAGTTTCTAATTCACGTGAAAAATCATTCTCGCATGTATCAATGTTGAGATCTTCATTCATTTCAACATCAGAAACACAAAAGATATGCTTTTCTGCGTGACTTTCTATGCCTTTTAATTCATCTAATGCCTTTTTGACATCGATTTCTGTTTCTAAATATGTTTTAAGTTTATAATGAAACGGGTGCCGTTGACCCTGAATTTCAAC